CATGGCGACCGCTACTTCTACGAATATGGCAAAGATGTGAATCCCGGCGCCTTTACGATGGATCAACTCCATGAGATACGGAAAGTGAGCATAGCACGCCTAATTTGTGATAATGCTGACCATTTAACTTTGATGGAGGTACCACCGTCTGCCTTTGTACAAGCTGATTTTCCACAGTAAGTTTCGTTAATTTGACTTTTGATCGAATTCACCGTTGGTGCTTTTGTCAACAGCAATTCACCAGTGCGCTGTGACAGCGCTAAAATACCCTTTGTCAACTTTCATGCCTGGCGTTTGAATTAAGCTAAAAGGGAGTTTTTATGGCTTTCAATGTGCCTATTTGATGCCGTCAATTTGGAGGATCGAGTAAAATAATCGGTTGAGTTAATAATTGTATACACAATTTTATGTATGTACATAAGTTAACAAGCTCCTGCAAAGATGTGTCTAAATGTCGAAAGTTAAAGTTCCGTATTTCTATTGCTCTTATTATATCCAACGTGTCTGGGCTGTGAGATTTTAAACATTTAACAAAGTCAGGCGTAAATAAAGAAACTCAGAAAAAATAGTAGTAAAATTCTATCATAAAAATGTGTTTATTAGTAAATAGTTTTGTTTTTGAACATTCCACTATTATCTTTTTCTGCGAATAAGACGTTTGTGATATTTTAATAAAAAAAAATTTTTATATATCAAAGATTCGTAGCGGTTTACACCACCAGTGTTAGGTCGTGTGATTTTCTTCAATTCCTTTGGATTTAGTGAGGGAGAGTGTCAGGCTCCTTGCAGAGAAGAAGCGAAAAAGGTCGGAGAAATAGCTGTTTACTTTTGCCTATGCTAAGATAACCAAACAAAATGTTAAATTCTCCGCCGATGGCATTTCCTAACCAAACAAAAGATTTTCGGTTAATGTGAAGAAATCTTCCACTTTCAATTTTGTGCTAAAGGAACCAGAGAAACAACTTTTAATAAAAATTCCAATAAATAAAGTATATGTATAATACATATTCAACCTAGAAATATACAATATTGCCCAGTTATGATTAAATTATTCATACATATATTTTAATATAATGCCTCAATTATATATAATATCTAGATTAGTTATATTGTATATTTTACTTAGCTGTTATTACCTCGCACAAGGCCAAAGGATGATAGTTTCCGTACAAGCTATAGAACTACAGCACAGCATTCATTTTCTTCTTAACCTATCACTATGAGAAGAATGTTATGTACCGAATTTAGTTGAAATCGGTTAACCAGATCCCAAGATATGGGTTTTTACCTAAAAGTGGGCGGTGCCACACCCACTGTCTAATTTTAAACGCGGTTCCTATAAAGTCATTTTTTACCATCCCAGAGATAAAATTAAATGTCTATGGTGTATTTAGTGCTTGATTTATCGCGGTTTTAGTAGTTTTTAACAATAGCGTTATATTGGGAGGGGTCGGGGTTGTCACCCTATTTTAATACTGTCGAGAGAGGTGCTAAAAACACTTGTTCTCAGTGAATTTTGTTATTATAGCTTTAGTGGTTTAGGAGGTGCCCCTTAAACCTATTAGGGGGTGGGATCACGCCAACTTTTAAAACCGATTTTAAACTGCAGATGTCCCTTATGTGATCCTGTATACTAAATGACAGTCTTGTATCTTATTGCGAAACTTAGTTATGGCAATTTATTTGTTTTTGATTAATGGCGTTTTGTGGGTGTGGCAGTGGTCCAATTGCGCCCATCTGCAATACCACAGAAACATGTGTACCAAATTTCATAAAGATATCTCAATTTTTACTTAAGTTACAGCTTGCACAGACGGACGGACGGATGGACAGACAGTCACCCGAATTTCAATTCGTATCTTCATCCTAATCATTTATATATAAATAACTCTATATTTAACTCGATAAGTTTTAGGTGATACAAACAACCGTTAGGTGAACAAAACTATTATTCTCTGTAGCAACATTTTGAGAGAGTATAAAAACACAAAAACGACCTACGCGAAGAAGTGGATGAAAATTGCAGTGAAGAAGAAATTGAACAAAATAAATCGTTCTCATTTCTGTGACAGTTCCGTGATATGAAAGAAAATAAACTCAACGCAGCTGCAAGCAATTTTGCAAAAAGAATTCCGTTGACGTATCTGACAAGTTGTTCAATGAAGCTATTCATTCACCTTAGGCACGTTTACGATACAAGTTTTGGAACCCATCTTACTCCATACGACTTATTGATGCCATCAATGCTCGAAAATTAGAAAGACTTTTCACAAATATTTGTGCTCGTCCCATTACAGGATTTCAAGACTAGCTACACTGAGCCTAGAGACAGAATTAGCCAAGAAGTTGGATATTATCGATGCATTCGCTGCCGCCAAAGCTCGAAAAGCTCACTTCTATGTTCAAAGTAGTTGCAGATTGGAGGATTTGAAACTGCATGTTCAAAACCTTCACGATAGTCAACTGATTTCAAAATAATAGTTTTTTCATTAATTAGATCAATAAATAAATGTTTGAATGAGACGTTTGTGTTAATTCTGGCTATCCCTATCCCTATATTCATATATTCCGGTATAATCTGCAAAAATATTTTTGAATGAAAGTCTATGTATGTATGAACTGATTTATACATTATTGATTTTCGTAAAATCGTACAAAACAAATTTGTTCCACTCAACAACGTCGTATTTGACATATTCTTCAAAAACATTGAAGTAGTAAGTGGGAAGACTGTTAATAAAATATTAGAAACATTCCTGTTGACAAAGGGCCTCCACCATTTAACCCTGAGCTCGGTTTTTTTCTCGGCGGCCCTGTATATACACACTTACCTAATAGAAATTGCTTACTTATTATCTATTAGTAGGTGCACTGTAAGTATATATAACTGTACATATGGTATGTACCAAAGTATAGTTTGTAGACCTTTTGCGTTTCACTTAATTTGCGAAATCTTCAAGTTACAAGTGTTCGACAATTATTATTAGCAAAAATTTCCAACAATTGAAAAATCAAACAAGTGTATGTGTGTACAACGATTTATGTAATAATATCTTGTGTCAATTTGATTCGATGATAATCTATTAATCAATTTGGGAAGAGGTAATCTGTGTCTATTTTGTTGGCCTATAATATTTCTATCGGAATGTTGGCTGTCGTTATATTTGTAAAGCAGGAATAAAATTTAATTATCAGTCTTGTGCGAATTGCCCGAAGAGTGGAAGGAATTTAGTACTTCCAAAAAAAAGCCAATGAGAAAATAAATTTGCGACATTAAATACCTGGCGATATTTACTTTATGAACTTTTACCTAGAAAATAAAAATCTATATGCTTTTTTGTATTATAGGTACATATCAAAAAAAGACGTAACCTCTGAATGTCTGTTTGTGTGTATGGTGCTCATTCCGGCGTTTATTATACCTTGGTAAAAAGTTAGACTATTCAAGCGGTCGAAACAGTTTAATTGTTTTTATACTTTCGCAACATGTTGCTACAGAGTATAATAGTTATGTTCCGATTACAACCAAATTCGGTACATAACATTCATATTTCTATATATTACTGCGAAAATGGGCGAAATCGGATTACAGCCACGCCTATTTCCCATATAAAACCATTTTAAATTCCATCTGATTCTTTCACTTTCCACTAAGCAAATCAAGCAACAATGATTGTATCGGGGTAAAACTTTGCGTGAATAATGCGTTTAAAGTATGACACCTTTTGACCAAAACTGTTTAAGCCCCTATCAAAGGGGCTAAATTTGATATACGATGAATGGCAACAATTGAAGCTGAACGGCCATCAAGCGTGTCGCATGTTCGGTGAATGGGCCCAAAACGAGGTGCCCACCGATCCTGATTTTCACAAGAAAGTTTTGTTCAGTGATAATCTTTGTTTCAAACAAGACCGCGCTTGATGTCACACAAGCAAGAAAACAATCAATTTATTGAAGGAAACTATTGGTGAACGCATTATTTCGCGCCGTGGGCCTGTGGCGGGGCCTCCAATATCGAGCGATTTAACACCGCTAAACAATTTTTTTTGGAATTTATTCGAGCCAGAAGTCATTTTTACAACATAATAGCAAACCCTTATCTTTATAATGAAATAAAATTCTTGACCATAGCATTAAATTAGATGCGTTTCATTTCATCTTGGAAATCACATGTTTAAAAGCAATAAACTTTATATAAGTACGCTTGTAAGTCTAATCGTGTTAGAACTTTCAATTTCCAAAATATTTTCACAAATACTTGCAGATGAATGTTAGTTGGTTAACTTGCCATATTTTCGGGATACATACAAGTAGAAATAAAAACGGACAAACGTGAATTATTAGAAATATGGATGGATGCCTGTATATGTAACGATATATCATATTGAATATATCTATTGTACAGGTGTAGGTTTATTTTCCAGGTGTTAAGGCAGGTTATTTTGGTCATACTCCACTACTGTTTTTGTAAAGCTTTCACCCTTCCGTTTTCGGTTGCAATCTTCCATCGTTTTGTAACGGTGTATAAAACTCACCTTTTCAAAAAAGATTTGGCGCTATTGAAACCAAAATAGCTTTTACACGCACATATCCACGCTATATGTGTACTTGGGCTGCATATGCATGTTTGTGTGCGGCGGTCAGGCCGCGTTTACGCCTTACGGTCATTATCCTGTTCGACATTTAATGAACCCTTGCAATTTGTTGCTGGAGGTTCAGGTGCGTAATTTCTGCAGGCGTGTGTTTGCATATTTCTGGTCCCCATCAATTTGTGTATGGAAGTACATGCAACAAGTGCATTCTAAAGCTGTGGATGAGCTTTTGCTCATCCCAACACATTGTGCTCCCAGCAGTAGCAAAAATCTCCCCCGACTCGTTGCTTATTCCGATACGCCCAGCTGCAGTGACCGAGTGAAGCACAACAATTATTGTAAACAATCAACACAATCACGAAGTGGGTTATGCTAGCCAATGCGAGCGACTACGAGCATTTTGCTGCGTCGGTAGCTCATTGGCATTTCGGCTCCGGAGACGAACGGTCGTGGTTGTTAGCTCGAGCAACGCAGTGTGGAAACTTGTGGTCGTTACTCACTAGCCTCGTGGGTGGCTAACAGTGTTGTGGTGTTTCGTTGTTGATTGCAAGTGAACGGTATTATTTCGAAATCAGCGCGATCCTACAAGTGTTTTGCCGTTAGAATGCAACGGTTGATTGTTTGAAGCATTGAAAACATTTAGTGAAAGCGGAAATGAAGACCGCACATACACACTTATTTGCTAATGTCGTGCCATCTTCTGGCAACGCGTTCTATGTGCATATTAGTGCATAGTAATATTTAAATATATTTATTGTAATGAAAGTGTGTGTGTACTTGAAAGTTCATTAGCGCCATGTAAAAAAAAAAAATTCGCAAAGAGATAATGGAAATTAAAATCTAAATATATAAATATACGTGTATGTGGCTGTGTATGTACACATGTATACATATTAACACATTTAAAAGTGCTTAAAAGTGAAATGGCCAAATGATAAATGTGTGGGTGTGTGTGCGGAAGCCATTGTCCCACAAATTGGATAATTAATTAAGTGTTTTATAAGTATTTGTTTGCAAACAGTTTGGAATAAGTGTTAATTAGAAGACAAGTTTATTTAGCTGTACAAGGTGTGAAAAGTACTGCTCTTGATTCTTTGGTAGGTTTTATCAAAACAGAAAATTATTTTCGTCCATATTTCACTCTTGAGACTAAAACTAAATATTTATTAATTTATTGTTAATTAAAATTCACCGCACATACAAACATACATAACATCTAATTCGGTTTGCTAATGAGTGCTTCCAAGATGGTGAGCTGTCTAATAGCACATAGAGACGCTGGCTATACACTTCTGAAGCATTAACACAATAGCATCTAACCTATGCTATTTCGTAAAGACTCTTTTCCTAAGAAATTTGTTTCAAAAACAACTAAACTTCTGCACAAACAATAAGAAAGAAACAACAAAAAAAAACAAATGTTCGCATGCCCCTTCAATGACGATTAACCATTTTATTATATAAATTGAAGTTTAATTATAGAATTTGTTTTTTGAATAAATTGTGGAACAGTTTCTTTTGCTAATTATTTAAATTGATTATCATGAGAGAAGCTTTTGATCAAAAAACAATCGCTATTATTCATAAAAGTTGAAAATGGTATTTATTTCATTTTGTTCCAAGTAATTTTGATCCTACAGTCGGCAACTTCTTCGCATACATTAATATTTGCAGTTGTAATTTAAGGGGTCAGAGGTTCTAATTAAAAATTGCGAAAACTCAGCCATTGGTACCCCCTTTTGAAGCTTTAAAGTTTCCAAAGCCACCTAATTCCTTAGTCGAGGAGGCAAAGAGCAAAATAGAAACCGGGGTTATGAAACGATAAGAATATTATTTTTTAAACAAATAGTTGTATACCGATTTTATTAGGAGATTTTCAGAGTTTGCACTCTTAGACTCAGATGTGGGATTGAGAAGATCCGATGATAGAGAAGAAGCAGACGGTCCGAATATATGTTAATAAACCAATTCATATTTGAATTACGGACGTTTCTCGGTATAGTTTTACACGACATTTCATAACTCCTTTACCAATCTCTATCAAATTGGTGCTTTTATTTCATGTACTCTCTTAGTACGGTTTCAACGCTGGACCAGAGCCACACCTATTTTTTATATTTTTCAGTAGATTTAGGTCCTAAAGAGCAATGTATCAAGTAGTACTTATGCTGACTGTGATATGTGGTATTATTAAATATATTGGTTAAATCGGTTTATATATTTCCTTACCCACTACATAGCAAATACAGAGGCAGAAATAACAGAATATTTTTTGAAATTTTGTTCATTTGTGTATTTTGTAAACAATAAAAAAAATCGATTTGTTATTATTTGAGGAATAAGTAAGTTGCTTTATAAAGATTGAAAATATATTTAAAGAAAAGAGAAACAAATTGGAATTTACCACGCATCGCAATGCGTTGAGAAGAAACGCTTATCAGCTGTAATTAGAGCATTAATAACATAAGGGTCAGTATGAAATGTCATAGCGAAAAGATAATAGTGTTGCTATTTTGATCCCAAGGAGATGGTTTTTATTAAAACGAAGCTGCTCTTTAAGGTTGAGAAATTTTTATAAATCTAATTAACTTTCAATTTATTTAATATTTACATGAAATTCACATAGGAACCAAGTTTCGTTTCGATACTAAATGCTACTAACGTTCAAAGTTAGATGGACGGAAATTATAATACTGTTAGGACGACGGTTGGAGTATTTAAATTTTCTAACCTTATTTGCGAATATTGTGTAAAATGATTGTTGAGATTGTTTTTGCGGTTAAAGAAATTCTCGTGCTTACAAATTTGTTTTCCAAACTTAAATGTTTCCCTCTTTAAATCCCTATTGATTTACTTTACATATGTATATGACAACTCCGAGTATTTTACTGTTCTAGGATTGATGCCGAATGCTGATTTATAGCAAAGATCTACAATTATTTATTTATGTAAACAGGAGGTTTTATGGACTCAACACTGATTGTTAATCCAATCAAATCGTCCAATATCTCTAAAACTGAGGGATGGCTTTGACAGATCAAGATAGTTTAGGTGCTAAAAAGCATACTTTTTCGCACGGTTTTAGGGTTTGAGTTTTATTTTGGTAAATAATATTATTGCATTATTTGGGGAGTTTGACTTGAACTAAATAATATATTCAATATTATCTACCGAATGCGGTTGTGTGAATCATTTTTGGGACGTGCAGTGAGTGAGCTATTCTTGCAATATTCTATATAGACGTTTCGCGAATTACACTGAAGACGAATCGAGTAAGTGACACGAGAAAATCCCTATACAAGTATAGGCAAAAAGCGGGTGCATAGCGGTTTATAATCTCTACAAAGCATATACTGTCTGGTCACCTAGACCTCTATGTTGATTTTGTTCATATTCAGCTCTCAACCACTTATGTTTGAGAAAACATATCTACTTTAAATACACATACTAATGTATGTTGTACCAAGCCAACCGGAAGATTGAAATTCTTATACCGGACATAGGAAAGTTAACGATGGTATTCCGCCCATTTTATCAATTTCTGGCGTCACGACATATAAGATGTGTGTTCAAAGGAAAAGGTGAATTTTGAATTTTTTCTAAAAAATTTATTTATTTATCAATATCTATTTTGTTCCCTTCGAAGTAATCCCCTCGGAAATATTATAAACTTGTGCCAACCCTTTTCACAATCCTCGAAGCACTTCTGAAATGCGCTTTTCGGTATGGCCATCAGCTCTTTCTCTCTCATCAATTGTGGCAAAACGCTTTCCTTTCATTGGTTTTTTTGAATTTTGGAAATAGAAAAAAGTCGCAGGGAACCAAATGTGGTGAATGCGGTGGTTGAGGCATGATTACCGTTTTGTTTTTGGCCCTCCTGAGCGATACTAATGCGCCATTGCTTTTGCTCAAAATTTAGCAATTTCGGAACAAACTTCGCTGCTACACGTTTCATGCCCAAAACATTCGAGATATCCATCATCATCTGCCACTTCCGTAATAGTGATTCGACGTTTTCAAGAACAATTTTTTTCACTGTTTCGATGTTTTCTTCGCTTGTTGACTTGGTCTCATCTCTAGGATGCTCAGCATCTTTTCGGTTTTCTGTAAAGCGCTTGTACTAATAAATACTGTTTTGAGACAAAGTGGACTCACCGAATGCCATAGTCAACATTTCAGGTGCCTTGGATCACTTTATTCTATTTTTAATGCAAAATTTAATACATATTCTTTGATCCATTTCACCCAAAGGTGGGCGGTTAATGTCCATTGTTAGGTTCACAACGATTCTTATGAAGTCCTTTAGGAACATTTTGTTTGTGAATCTAATGTTTCTGACCTAAGCTATTATCGCTATTTTGTAATTTTAAACAGAAACATTATATGGCGAATGGTGTGGTTATCATACGATTTCTACACTTTTAACTCTATATCTAAGCTATAAAACAAACTACTATTTATTCACCTAATGGTAAAACTAGTATATTCTCTTACAATATTCTGGGATATTATATTTTTATGAGTAGTAGTAGCTTAATGGGACCCACCAGGTTTTATTGTTTCTTCGCAATCTTATTGAGATCACTCATAGTGTAACCGATCTGTAAGATATATAGCTAACCAGAAAGGTGGAAAATATTTTATTAGCAATGAGGATGCTAGCGGAAAATGAAACTCGAAATGAAAAGTAGAATAACAGTATTATAATTCGGCAATTAAAAAGCTCTATTGAAATAGTAAGATTTACATCACCAAAGGGCTTGTGTCTTTCATGGCTTTTTGCAATTACTAATTTACTTCAATGGGTAAGCTAAGTTCCCACTCTATTTACACATGCTAGAAGATACAAGTTTTTATTACATTGTTGATTCTCACCGTGGGAGACTACATTTTTCTAAGGGTTAAACGAACAGCATATGTATTTACCATATACATGTGTGTATACCATATATGTACATACATATGTGTGGAATATTTATTTCAAATCTTCATGTCCGTGCTTTTATCCACCTCAGTTGAGCATTTCACACCTTATCTTCCACTATATATACATATATACATAATCGAATGTATTTTTCTCATTATTACTATAAAACTTTGAATTTGTGATATTAATGCACATCGAATACATTTTATTGGTTGTAGTTGTTGAACATTCTCTTACAATATATTAATTTATGCGTAATGTATTACTGAAGAATGGGAAAAATCTGGATCTGAATTGATAAATATAAATAATTATGCATTTAATGTATGCGCAATTTGCATTGATTAACTGCTTACAACCGCATTAAAGGTTAAGTTAGGGTGGGGTCAAGTCCGAGTGTAACAGATCTTATTTGGCGCTAACTAACGTTTCGATATTATTCAATTACATATGTGTTTAAAGAAGATATAGAAATCAAGAATGACAAATTAAAAATTACTATAATTCCATCTAATTACTTTTTTGCAGTACATTTGACAGAAAAAATTAAATTTGGTTGCACCGAAATTATTATACCCTTCACAAATACAAAATACTCCATACAATAACTTGATTTTGATCGGTGAGTATGTATGGCAGCTATACTTGTATGCTATAGTGGTCCGCTTTGAAAAATTTTTCGGAGACTGCACCATTGATTTAGACTTTAGAATAACCCATGCAAAATTTCGTATCTCGTCAAATAAAAAATTTTCATACGAGCACTTAATTCCGATCGTTCAGTTTGTATGTCAGCTACATGTTATAACGCTACATGTTATAATATCGATGGTTCCGACAAATGAGCAGCTTCTTGGAGAGTAAAGGAAGTGCGCAAAATTTCAGATCGATATCGCAAAAGCTAAGGAACTAGTTCGCGCATACAGCTCGTCAGGCTGATCATTTGCATATACGAGTATTATTTATAGGGTCGCCGACGTTTCCTTCTGCATGTTACAAACTACGTGGCAAACTTAATATACCCTATTCAGGGTATAAAAATATAATAACGCACTGGAGTAAATTATTGACGACGCAAAAACGAGAAGAAAGGTTTTGTCCGAAACATTAAACTTAAGCACGCATATTATTGATAATGTTATATGATATTGAAAAACTTTACGTAACATA